TGGGAACGATAATTCGGACTCTTAGGTCTACTATATTACTTGTTCGATATCGTATACTTGCGATATAAAAATACGCAACAACTAATATGGAGAAAATAAATACAATAATCGTGCCTACACAATTATCTTATATTTTATTAATACAAAACTTGTGAAAAAATTCTAGTATTTATAAGGGTGGATGACATAATCTAAAAATATCATAAATATGGAAATAAGATAAAAAATCACGTGAAATAAAGGATACAATATTTTTCAATAAAAACACGTGTAAAGAAGAAAAACATTTTCTCAAAAAATCCAATTTAATTAGGGTAAAAAAAAAATCCAACAATTTTCACATTGACACAAATTCCAACGCAACGAACAAAGTTCCAAGATTTCTCCACCTGGAAAAATAAATTCAACTGCAACAAAAAATTCGAACTGTTCAAGAAGAACCAAATTTTCTCCAACACAAAAATAATATTCCTCTTCCATGGTATCCAACACAGATACATAAACCTAAATACCGAGTTCCCCAAAATTCATAAAGAATTAGAAATTATTAAACGGTGTCAAAGCACACCCTGTAACAGAATCTACTCACAATGCTTTCATAGAAGGCCCTGGACTAGTCTCAACACCTTCAAAAATGCTAAAAGCATGTGCAACTAAATCAGCATCCACGTATATATCTCCACAGTTGAATAAGATGGAACCACAAGTAATGGTGGAAAAGCGGAATTACCCATATCCTCCAAACTCGACTGAGTTGTGTTCTTCAATATGGACCCCGAACCAAATCATAAAGGTACAGTACCAAACTGAATCTCTACCACGGTACTAAATCTATGCTGATTTTTTTTCACAAATTCTGCCCGACCTTGTAAGATGTATAATTGGGACCTTTTCCGATGCTCTAATACAACACAAACACTCTTTTAAACTCTCAAAACTCCACCTCCTCTAGAGAATGTGTATCATTTTGAATCAAGAGTACTCAACGAAATGAAATTCTTCTTAAGTCTGGAATATGTCGAACGTGATCAAGTGTTCTACAAGTTCCATCCACTAACTTCAATTTGACCCTACCAATACTAGATACCCGATAAGGTTCGTTGTTACCCATGACAACTCCACCTTGTGTCACCATTTCATAGGTTTCAAACAAATTTTTCGATTATGACACATATTGAACGCATAAGCTGTATCCAAAATCCACTCCTCATCAGGTTCGGATTTCAAGTCAGAAATCATCAAAACATCTTCATCACTCAAATAGTTCTTGACTATGTTAGTCTCGTCTGAAATACTTGATTGATTCCCATGATTTGCAGTCAAATTACTTTTGTCGTGCAATTTGTCGTAATCCCTCTTAATGCGTCATTTCTTCTTGCAATTATAACAAACCTGATTACTGAAATGTGATCTCGACTTACATCTTCTCCGATCACCATGAAAAAAAGACATTCTCCATCTCTGACCTCAGATCTAACCAGATGCTTCCTCTTCTCTTTTGAAAATAAAGCATCATACACATCTTCAATGGTAAGAGTATCGTGACTATACAAGATCGTGTTTCTAAACGAAGCGGGTAGCGAATACAAAAGAATTAAGGTCAAATCTTTTTCATCATACTTTACCTCTAAAGTCTCCAAATCAGCGATGATCTCCTTGAACATAGCCAGATGATCTTCCAAAGATTCGCTTTCAGCCATGCGATGATAAGTAATATCTGCTTCAGATGCAATTTACTTTTCAAACTTTTAGTCATGCGCAATTGCTCCAACTTCAACCACAATGCAGCTGTTATTTTCTCTTTTAAAATGTCATAAAGAATACTGTTAGAGAGATGAAGATGGATTTGTGAAAGTGTTTTCCGATCCTTCAATTGTTTATCCTCCATCGCCTAAGTTGTGGGCATTTTGTCAAATCTCAACAACGCATCATCCAAATCCATCTGCGCGAATATAACTCGCATCATCACTTGCCATAATGAAAACTTGTATTTTGATCCAAAAGCGAAATTTCATATTTTAAGGCTAACATGAATAACAAAACCTCGAACAAATCACAATCAATAGCTTTGATACCACTTGTTGGGAAATAAAACGAAGATATGTAATATATGTGACAAAATATGAAGTATATGATAGCAAACAAATAAAGATAAAAGACATAATTAATTGATTGAGGAACGGAGTATTTTATCCAATTGACTATTATGGAGAAAACAAATACAATAATCGTGTCTACACAATTATCTTATATTTCAATAATACAAAACTTGTAAAAAGAATATAGTATTTATAAGGGTGGATGTCAGACCCTAAAAATACCACAAAAATGGAAACAAGAACAAAAATCACGTGAAGTAAAAGAAACAATATTTTTTTAATAAAAAACACGTACAAAGAAGGAAAAAATATTTTCTCAAAAAATCCAACCTAATTTAGGTCAAAAAATCAAACAAGTCCTTCTAACTGCGTGGATAAAAAGGTGACTTGAGTATTTATAAACATGAGTCAAACATAGACTTATATTTTGGTTTGTTGAACTAGTTCCAGATGTAAGACATGGCAACACGAAAGACGAGAACTCATGATAGTTGAATCAACATTAAGATAGGCCAATAAGAGGTCCATTCGTGGTTAGCATTCTGCTCGGTAACTTACATGAACGAGAGCAAACAAAGATGGCTAAATGCTTGCCAAGGCCATAACTGGATTAGAAATCATGGTCTCATGGTGCTTACGGAAGTCACAAATTACTATCACGTCATGCATCTAGATC